GAAGTACAGTAACAGGAATTTTATATAAATTTAAAAAAACGTTCATCTAGACTTTTTATTTATATGTAAAGAAATCCATTTTTATTGATTTCTACAGTTTTAAATTCAAGTGAACAAAATATATTAGTATAATGCTAACTTAAGTTAACATTAACATTTGTTCATATTAAGTGCTAAATCCTCAGTAATAAGTATAGATATATATTTATTCCTGCAATTTTTGTTAATATAGTTTGCTTATTAAAGTTTGCTTATTGAAAATTTTTAAAATACTTTAATCCAGACAGTTTTTCAGACAAAGAAGAAAATTATAATAAAATTAAATTTTATATTTGGTATTCATGTGGTATTTTCCTTCTTATGTAAATATTGCCTACCCAAAAGTAAACACTTAGTCAATGTATCAAAGCCACTGTAGTTTGCTATTTCAGTATTACATCATCAGAGATGTTTCATGCCCAGCTAAATCCGTATTCATTGATGCATATATAATTTGAAATTTTGGCAAAAATATTTTTTTTGATTTCTGGAAAAAAATGTCATTAATCTGCAGTATAAAATTTAGAATAATGATTTACTTTTTTTATTTTAATATGTTTATTTTAAAACATGAAGCATTACAGTTATTACTAATATTGTTAATAAATTTTTTTTTTAACTTTACTTATGTTATATTTTTGTGTATCTATTTATAACAAAATATATATTGCTTTTCTTTTAGTTGTTATTATTTGATTATGATAAAGTAGAGTTGGCAAATATGAACAGGTAGTTTATATATAGTAGTAGCAATAAATATGTGTGTTTGTGTGTGTATAAATATTAAATAAAGTGACACATGTTACATTTTTAAACTTTGAACACTTATACGGTCCTCCATTGTGGTAAACATAAGTTTGGCTCTTTCATAAAAACACATGGTATTTGACGTTTATTTTGGAATTGCTAGTGAGGCTTTACTATAAACTGTATTTATTTTGTTAAAAATGAAAAAAATAGTTGAAAATGAATTTACTGGTAATTTTTTTTTTGTGTGTGTAAAAATGTTTTAGGTGTGAAATATTTGTAAATAACTGCAGGAATTGTGTTGATTGCAATTGTTTTCAACTTTTTTTTAGTTACTTTTGAATATGCAACATAAATACAATAATAAAGGTTGGTTGCAACCGAGTTGACTTTAGAATTGACTTTATGACTCGATAACATCGGTCAAGTGTCCATATGTCAAGTGTTTGACGTGATTAGTAACATCTGTCAAGTGTCCATATGTCAAGTGTTTGACGTGATTAGTAACATCTGTCAAGTGTCCATATGTCAAGTGTTTGACTTAAATATATAAATACATATAATTTAATAAATTTTATTTGTTTAAACAAATAATTGAGTAATCCTAAAATTACTCAATTGTTTGATTTCTGTTTGTGGTTTTTTCTTTGCGTGCAAGTTTTTTTGAGGCATGTTTTATAATTAAATTAAATAATAAAAGACTTGTATACCAAGTTAATAATTAGTGCATTTTTTTAAAAGTTAACATGATATTGGCTATGCAACTCTTATTGTTATTACCTAATGAGGATACAGCTCTAAAACTCAGTTTAATGGTGTTGGTAGTAAAATTTCTCGAACTCTGTGGTAGCTCTCAGAGAGGCTGATTTCATCAACAGCTGGAAATATCAGAGTATTAGCAGTTCCATGTTGCGCATGGATGGTGTCCCTGTTTATGCTTTTGGTGTGCATTGTTGAGGGCTTATAAAGAACTCTATGTTATGACTGAAGGTTAATTAACAGGACAATTGCATAGCTCATTACTTAAAAGCCGTGCTTTATCTACGAATGAGTCAAGTTTTCTTTAAACTTGAATCATACCAAAATTAACCCAAAATGTTAAGCATAAAAAACCATTTTCACCACCTAACTGTTTTAATATATCTTTTACAAATACTCATGGTCTGCAAAGCCACCTTCCATAAGTTGAATCTTACCTCTTGTAAAATTCACCAGACTTGCTTGCTCTTAGGGAGACTAATTTAAGTTCTACTATTCCTTCAGATCTCAGTGTGGATGGGTAACATCCTTTGATTTGTGAAGAATCCAATAGTCACACGTTTGGCTTGGGGTATACATACTTATCAACTCACCTATAGTAAATGACCAGGGCCCCAGCCAAAATGAGACTTTTTACAAACCTGACCCCGCCTAAAATATAAGATTTAGCAGGGGTTGATAGCCCCTGCTAAATCTTATAGTTTAGGCAGAAAAATTTATAATACTTTATATATTATAATTTTACGCTTAGATTTACTATTTGTTATATTTATACATTTTCAAACTCTAATTTACTTCCAACAAGATTTCAAGCAACCACTAATAAGTTATAAAAACGCTACTACAGACAAGGAGGCTAATTGTGGTTATAACCCTTTCTCAACTATATAACTCTGAAACACAATCCTTGACAACCAAGGCGGCTGCGCAGAAAAACACGTTGAGTGCAATATTACCAGGAACTTAGTGTACTTGGTGAACTTGGTACCTCTCACTTATGATGCAAGCAATCTACTACTACACCACGACTGCGTTACATTTACAATGTGCTTTTATTCTTTTTCTAAGGGTAAGAGGGTTGCTATTCATCAATATAGGTATACCAACATTAATTCAACATTTTTTTGCAGTAAATAAATGGGTTTTGTTGTCTAACAAAAAATGCAGATTTTAAGTCCAGAATTTAATTCCATAAGCCACAGCAAGCCACAACAAGCCTTAGGTTGTTACAGCCACAGCAAGCCTTAGGTTGTTACAGCCACAGCAAGCCTTAGGTTGTTACAGCCACAGCAAGCCTTAGGTTGTTACAGCCACAGCAAGCCTTAGGTTGTTACAGCCACAGCAAGCCTTAGGTTGTTACAGCCACAGCAAGCCTTAGGTTGTTACAGCCACAGCAAGCCTTAGGTTGTTACAGCCACAGCAAGCCTTAGGTTGTTACAGCCACAGCAAGCCTTAGGTTGTTACAGCCACAGCAAGCCTTAGGTTGTTACAGCCACAGCAAGCCTTAGGTTGTTACAGCCACAGCAAGCCTTAGGTTGTTACAGCCACAGCAAGCCTTAGGTTGTTACAGAAGAGAAATCAGATTAAAAATCAGCTGCTTCTAAGCAATCAAAAAGTGAAGATTTTTTGTCAAGTAAAGATTTTTTGTCAAGTAAAGAGTATAAAGTTGAGTCGTCAACAAATAGAGCCACTTTAGATGTTAAATTTTCATGAAGATTGATATTGTAGATAAAAAACAACACAGGAGCAAAGATTTTAAGGGTACCACAAGATACCTTGTGGTATCCTTAAAGGTACTTAAATAACTTTATTGCTGCAGTTAGTAAGAAATAATTTCAAAACTCTTATATAAAGAAACTAATAACAGCGTGTAGACTAGTCATAGGATAGATGGAAAGGTAAAAAGGTGTTTTCTAGAGTTTTAAAATTTTTTTTTTAATTTTAGAAAACATTGATTTTAATGTTTATCAATGGGTTAAAAAAAAAAGCTAGAACTACAACTGTAGTTGTTGTTTTAGTTTTTGTGTTTCTCTTTTCATTGTAAAGTTTGTTATTATTTGTGCTAATTTTTTGTATTGTTGTTTTCTGTTTTTCATTTTACCAAATTTTCTACATCTTTTTTTTTTATTTTATTTCGCAAAAAATAACTAAAGTTTGTCCTTATTTTTTAATTTAATTTTATTTTGTAGAAGTATTTGTGTTTGCCTTTTCGTTTTGTAATTTTTGTGTTTCATCTTGTATTTTTTGTGTGTTGCCTTTTCGTTTGTGTAAGGTTTGTTTTTTATTTGTTCTGTTTTGCTAATTATTTTTATTTTTGTTTGCTGTTGTTATTGAGTGTTTTCATATTTTTTGACTTATTATCTATTTTATTTTAGCTTTATCGTTTTTATTATTATTTTATTTATTTTCTTAGCGATTTTTGGTTGATATTTGTTATTTTTATTATTATTTTATTATACCAATTGTTATAAATAATTGGTGTCACTCATTTTGATCATAAGTGAAACTCATGTCATCATATTATTTGTATTATTATAGATAATATCATTATTTTTTAATTATTATTGTTATAGTTATTTGGTGTCACTCCTTTGATCAGGCTTCTGTTTGAGTGACACCTTCCTTTTCAAATAATTATTTATATTTATGTTTATTTTTATTAGTTATATTTTATCATAGTTATATTGTTTGTATCATTATAGATAATATTATTATTTTTTAATTATTATTGTTATAATTATTTGGTGTCACTCCTTTGATCAGGCTTCTGTTTGAGTGACACCTTCCTTTTCAAATTATTATTTATATTTATTCTTATTAGTTATATTTTATTATAAATATATTATTTATAATATTATAGATAATATTATTATTATAATTGTTATCATATGATTATATGTAATTTTTGAAAAGGAAAATAAATATCTTGTTGTTGTTGTTTTTTAATCTGTTTAACTGGTAGGAAGAGTGTGGCCATTAAATTCAAGAATTGAATTAGTAAGAGTGTGGCCATTAAATTCAAGAATTGAATTAGTAAGATTTTTTTAATCTGTTTAACTGGTAGGAAGAGTGTGGCCATTAAATTCAAGAATTGAATTAGTAAGAGTGTGGCCATTAAATTCAAGAATTGAATTAGTAAGATTTTTTTAATCTGTTTAACTGGTAGGAAGAGTGTGGCCATTAAATTCAAGAATTGAATTAGTAAGAGTGTGGCCATTAAATTCAAGAATTGAATTAGTAAGATTTTTTTAATCTGTTTAACTGGTAGGAAGAGTGTGGCCATTAAATTCAAGAATTGAATTAGGAAGAGTGTGGCCATTAAATTCAAGAATTGAATTAGTAAGATTTTTTTGCTAAAAACTCTGATTATTCTGAATTGGAAATTAAACGTTACGACTTACTTTAGTTACTGACACTGTTAAAGACTTACCAAAAGTCTACAGAACATAACATCTGTATATAAGATATAAGATTTAGTAAACTAAGAATAATAGAGCTTAAAATCAGATGGGACCTTTTTACACTGGCTTCTTGGAATAATAAAAGGACATTTGTTCTCAAGAGTGATGTTCTTGTAAAAAAGTTGAAATAAATGATTAGTGGCTTGTAAATTTTAGCTCCAACAAAGCTCACAGTGGCTTGTAAATTTTAGCTCCAACAAAGCTCACAGTGGCTTGTAAATTTTAGCTCCAACAAAGCTCACAGTGGCAAAGTAAATTTTAGCTCCAACAAAGCTCACAGTGGCAAAGTAAATTTTAGCTCCAACAAAGCTCACAGTGGCTTGTAAATTTTAGCTCCAACAAAGCTCACAGTGGCTTGTAAATTTTAGCTCCAACAAAGCTCACAGTGGCAAAGTAAATTTTAACTCCAACAAAGCTCACAGTGGCAAAGTAAATTTTAGCTCCAACAAAGCTCACAGTGGCAAAGTAAATTTTAGCTCCAACAAAGCTCACAGTGGCAAAGTAAATTTTAGCTCCAACAAAGCTCACAGTGGCTTGTAAATTTTAGCTCCAACAAAGCTCACAGTGGCAAAGTAAATTTTAGCTCCAACAAAGCTCACAGTGGCTTGTAAATTTTAGCTCCAACAAAGCTCACAGTGGCAAAGTAAATTTTAGCTCCAACAAAGCTCACAGTGGCTTGTAAATTTTAGCTCCAACAAAGCTCACAGTGGCAAAGTAAATTTTAGCTCCAACAAAGCTCACAGTGGCTTGTAAATTTTAGCTCCAACAAAGCTCACAGTGGCAAAGTAAATTTTAGCTCCAACAAAGCTCACAGTGGCAAAGTAAATTTTAGCTCCAACAAAGCTCACAGTGGCAAAGTAAATTTTAGCTCCAACAAAGCTCACAGTGGCAAAGTAAATTTTAGCTCCAACAAAGCTCACAGTGGCAAAGTAAATTTTAGCTCCAACAAAGCTCACAGTGGCAAAGTAAATTTTAGCTCCAACAAAGCTCACAGTGGCAAAGTAAATTTTAGCTCCAACAAAGCTCACAGTGGCAAAGTAAATTTTAGCTCCAACAAAGCTCACAGTGGCAAAGTAAATTTTAGCTCCAACAAAGCTCACAGTGGCAAAGTAAATTTTAGCTCCAACAAAGCTCACAGTGGCAAAGTAAATTTTAGCTCCAACAAAGCTCACAGTGGCAAAGTAAATTTTAGCTCCAACAAAGCTCACAGTGGCAAAGTAAATTTTAGCTCCAACAAAGCTCACAGTGGCAAAGTAAATTTTAGCTCCAACAAAGCTCACAGTGGCAAAGTAAATTTTAGCTCCAACAAAAATGAATAGCAATCCTCTCAATCCTCTTTTTTCCATCTTCTTGTATTATTGTTTTTCTACTGACTTTTCATGAAAAACATATATACAATCAATTGCTAAATTAGCATCTGTTAAGGTTTTTTTTTATTGTGCTCTCCATTATTCCCATTATCATTATCCCCATTATCTTACTCCTGATTCTATTTTCAACCACTACAAATCTCTTATTTGTTCCTGTATGGAATATTTATTTATCATATTTAGGCAGGTTTTTCTAATGATGCTCTTTCTCTTCTTGACAAGATCCAAAAATGCATTGTAAATGTAGATCCACTCTATCTACTAAACTTGCACCTCTTTCCTATCGTTGTATAGTTGCATCTCTTTCTCATTTTGTTTGCTGATGATCATGCTTGCTGCTCAAACGAGCTATCATCTCTAGTTCCATCAACTAAAACTCATTCTTGCATGACTCATCGTTCAGCAAAGTCACATTCTTTCACTGTATCTGTCCCTGCATGCTTTAAAAACCTTTATTCATCTAGTTTTTAACCCCACACTTTAACCCTTTGGAACCCTCGCCCACCTTCATGTTTTCCTGAATCATACAACTTTCCAGTTTTGAAGTTTTCTGTCAACTGTTTTTTTGGTCTATATTCTTATTTTTCTAGTAACTCCCAATTTTAATTTTCTATTTTCAATAAAAAGATTTTTTTATTGGTTTAAAAATATCTGTAAAAGGTTTATTCAGTAGTTAATGAAGAGCATAACATAAATAAATATTTTCATAGCTGTCTCTATTTTATTCTACCCCCTGTTTTACTCTCTGTATTTATATAGTGCTTTCATAAAAGAATTTTTTTAGTTCTTTTAGATGGTTAATTGTGAATTAAAAACAGGGTGCAAGTAAATGAACTGTTTATGCATATACAACATAATAATAAATGTTTTGTAATGTTAATAGTTTGTGATAAATGTAATGCAGGTTTATTAAGTAAACTTTGAAACTTTTTATTTCTAGTGTTTATTATATGTGGTTATTGTTATGTGATCTGAATGTATTAATATAGAGATGTTTTTAAGGTTGTTTTTCCGCCCTGATCAATCAGGTATGAGTAAAGTAGAAGCTGCTGAACACACACTGAGGTATGTTTGTTTATTTGTTGGTTCTTAAACATTTTCAATAAAGCAATTTATATAATCTTTAAAAAGTTGTTACACACAGAGGAAATTTTTTTTTAAAGAGAACAGTTTTTCTTCATTTTTGTTTTGTTTTTGTAAAAGAAGGGCAGGAGGGGGGGGGTTAAGTGCAAAACAAATAATTTAATAGCTGAACAATATTTCCATTATTTACAGAACATAATGCCTTCTTGGTATTTTAAAAACAACACTTAAAGTAATCCAGTTGAATGCTGTATGGATTGTTTAATGAGATGACTTTTGATTCTTAAATTTTTATTCCAAACTTTATTGATATAAGATTAAATTTTCAACACAGACTACAGCAATATAATTTATCTTGCTCAGTGTTATTGATTCTTTGCAATGTCATTAAAGATGCACAATATTTATTGATGAAATAAAGTGTCATTAGAGATGTCATAAAAAATGTCACTATAAATGCTCATAGTTGTTAAATAGGTTGTTAAAGATTCATGTTTCACACTGTTTAAGATTAAAATTATGTAATTTAAAAAAACTTTAATTGGAGTTTGCAACTATGCATATTTGACCACATTGAATTATTGCAAAAAATGAATGTTTAAATGTCATGTTGATCTTTTTTAAAATTACATATTGATTAAAGGTGGATACAAACAGAAAAGTAAATTTAAATATTTTTATTTATTTCTCAGAGCAGGATTTCTAGAACCCTTTTATAGACAATAAGTTTTAAATTCATACAGTTTTTGAAACCGCTAAGTCATTAAACTTGTTACATTATCATATTGTTGCTAAAGAATTTTTTTCATAACTGTTTTTTGTAAGTTACCTATATTTTTTGTGTGACTTTCCTCTGATACTTTATGATGGACTAGTTAATGAATAAGTTTTTGAGGATGACACTATTTTACTTTGTTTATGTTTGATTTGATTTTAAAGTATTGAATGAGGTTATTTCTAAATCTTTTGGTTTCTATATTTTTTAATACTATGATTGGTAAATGTTCAATATGATTTTGCGATCTGGTACAAGTTTTGTTGCTCATTGTTGAACTTTTTTAAATTTGTTTGTGTGTGGGTTTCAGGCTGGTGCACAAAGTTCTAGTTTAGGTCTGACGTGTGTTGTGGAGAGTGGAGCATTTGATGTTGTGCAGATAAAGCGGTGGACTAGTATTTAAATTTGTGCTTCAATGTGTTTAGAGTTTTATTGGTTATTATTATGATGTGTTTTCATTTGCTACTTATTATAATACCTAAATCTTGTTGATGCGATGTTTTGTTTAAATTAATGATTGTTCCAGTTATATATAGTGGGGCAACTTGATTTATTATTTCAGGTAATTTTTATGATTTGCTGCTGTTAACTTTCATGATTTTACATTTTTTGTTATTTAATTTTATGTTCCATACTGATTTGCCTTTAGTGAACCCATTTTGTTCTTTACCAATTAAGTTATGTGAATTTAACTTATAATGTCCTCTTTGATTAGTTTTTATATTTCTTTAGTGATGGCAGATGATGAAAAGATTGGTCAATAATTTTTTGATTCATTTTTTTTGTTCTTGTCTAAAAGAGTTAAATTTGCCAACTAAATGAGGGAAAATATAATTGATGACCCCCACACACACACCCTTCACACCAGAAAAACTAAATTTATTTTTCTGTATTTTTTTTAAGCAAACCATTATTATGCAATGTTTAATTTTGGTGGAGTTTATATATATATATATATATATATATATATATATATATATATATATATATATATATATATATATACATATATATATATATATATACATATATATATATATATATATATATATATATATATATATATATATATATATATATATATATATATATATATATATATATATATATATATATATATATATATATATATATATATATATATATATATATATATATATATATATATATATACTAAAATTACATTTTAGTCTATGATTCACCAAATACCATCACAAATTCAACACCATAAATTTTTTCTGCTTTTTGTAGGGTCATATCTCCAGAACAAAAGGTTCTTTAATATCGTTATTTTGTCTAAAGGTTCTACGTACTATCATATTGATATGGTTTAAAAATCAGCTTTTTTATAAATATTTCTTCTGAGTTATTTTGAAAGCAATATATTAAAAAAGTAAAATACCCTACAATAACGTGTGTTTGAACCCCTAAAAGTGAATGTGGGCAAAAAAATTTTGTTTTTTTATTTGTATTATTGAAAAGAGCTTATTTCGCACTTCTAGAAACAATAAAAATTATTTTGGAGAGATCTTTCTTATTAACGAAAAAAACTTGGTCAATTTATACATTTTTGAATTTTACGATTTTGTCCTAAACATAAAGATTTATCATACTGAATCAAAATTAAAGCTTAATGTACCAAAAATCAAAGCTTGATGTAACAAAAATCGAGTATATTTTTATCTTTAGCTTGCTGTACCAAAATCAAAGCTTGTTGTGCCAAAAATCAAATATATTTTTATCTTTAAATAATATTTTTTTAACATTTGCTTGAGTTATTTCAGAAAAGTAAACAAATCAGCAAAATGTGAATCACAATATTTAAAGTAAAAAAAAACTGCAAATAAGTGCATTTTTTTTTTTTTTTTGGCAAATTCATTTTTGTGTATTTTGATTATATAATCATTTTATTTCCAAACCAATGCATTTTCAAAAAAGTTAATCTCAAAAATAATAAAGAAGTTGATCTTCATTTTAGTAGTTAGTACCAAAAAAGTTTATTCCTAATGACGCCTTGGCAACCATATCCTTGGTGCTAGGCCAGTAAAATGACTGAGCCATACCATGAGGGTACATAAAATCAATGAAAACATCTTCCTGTTCTTCTGAAAATTTACAAACATTTTCAACCCACCAATTGCATCGTAAATACATGCAGCAAAATTTCCAGAACTAAGATCAGACAGTAAAACTAATTTGGTTAAGTTGTTGTAATTTTCATTAATGTGTGCAATAAAAGATGTATTGTCATTTGAAATACAACTGATACAAACTTGATTTTCATTTACAGGTACAAATTTGTAATTATCGCGATTACCTGCAACTGTGTTTCTAGTACTAAATCGTTTCTCTTGATTGCCTTATACACTGTCTACTTCATCACTGGCAACATAAATAAATGAAATACCTGTGACACTTTCCTTGCAAAAATCATATAAATTTAAGGGCGTTAAATTTTGATTATCAATTGGTTGTTGTAGACTTGCATGTGCTGCTAAACGCTTCACAGTTCCTCCAATTCCATCACAGGGAGATTTTCCATGACTAGTTGCAAAGAAATTCCACTCTTCTTTAATGTCATAGTCAGTGTAATGGTAATATAAATTCATAAAATTTTTAAAGTTTTTGTTCTGTGCAGCTGAACAGTCACTGAAATAATGAATAAGTTCAAAAGACAAATAAGTTTTAAGTTCAGCTATTAATTTACCAAGAAATACATGAACAGAAATAGTATTGTGATACATGCAATCACTGATAACACAATAACATGTATTTTTAAATATGTCATTAAGTTTTGAGTATACAACAAAAGGATGCAAAGTTGTTTGGCTGTTTTCCCAGTAAAACCCTTAAACAGCATCTTGCACAACAAATGAATAGTTTTCAGAAAAGTCCATCAAAATGATTAATTCATTTGAATTCAACTCATTTTTCAATAATCGCAAATATTTGTATTGGTTTTTGGCAATAAAATGATGTTAGAAAAAACAGATACTTTTGAAATTAATTCATCAATGAAGTCATCTACTGGTAATTGTAAAGATTCACGATCTACTTTTAACCGTTGCTTGAATGTTATAGTTTCATCAGATTCAAAGTAATTAAACTGCTCTTCAAAATAAGCTTTTAAAATTTCAGTCCCTGGACATTTATTGCAACAATGAAGCATACATTTTTTAGATTCAATATCAAAAACTATTTTAACTATCAATCAGACATTTAAAGTCTACCGTAATTGGGCTATTTGCAAGCATTAATTTTATATTCTGGTGAATAGTACATACACAAATACGATGAGTACCAGACGTTCTAACAGTTATACACCATTTTGGACGTAACTCACAGAATTTAGAAAATCCAACTTAGCTCCATTTTCTTTTTTATACTCCAAAAAAATTTCCTTTAAATTAACTAACAATAATTATTTTTGCATGTGCACTTTTTTAGCACCAATATGCAGAGATACAAAATCCTTTTTTTCCTGGAGATGTTCTGCTAAAAGCTTCATGTTTGTAAAATTTCAAAAATGTTTCTTTAAAATGCTCTGGCAATTTTTATGCTGTATTTTTTTCTGGAAGTGTAAGATTCGACTTTTTGCCTTCAACTTTTCTGCTGCTTTAGCCATTCTCTCTGATACTTTAAATTCACTGCATATTTTTATTCTTGACCAACTGTTTTGTATTAGAGTTTAAATTTGAGCTTTTTCACGTGGATTACAGGTTGTTGATATATTATACACACTCTACACTTGCACAGCTATTTTTTCTGCAACTGTTATTTGCACTTTCCGAATTTTACCTTTTACATAACTAGCATGATCTCTCTTACTAACACGTTTTCTTAAAGGTGATATTCCAATCTCAGAAAGGCTAGTATTAATAGTGTCAGTTAAACAAAATATATCATCTATGTCATCAATCTCAGAAAGGCTAGTAATAATAGTGTCAGTTGAACAAAATTTGAAAGACAGTCTGCAGTCTCTAGGTCAATACATCTCAACCCTTTAACTGAGCATGGATTGGCCATACCAAAAGGGTTTAAACAATAGCGCTGTAAATGAGTTTATTTAACCAATAGCAGTGATTTGTGGTGGAAACAAATTAAAGTAATACTTTTAATCAAATTATAAGTTTGCCTGACAATCATACTCTGTTCTTCATCCGAAAGTTCTGAGAAAAAGCCAATAAAACCCTTTTTTTGTGAATAAGTACTTAAATGACATAAACTTCTGTCAAATTTTCTAATACAACAAGTACTTAAGTTTTGATCAGCATACATGTCAGGATAAATTTAAAATAACTCTTATTCTAACTTCAATTCTAATTTTCATCTTCTAATATTAGATGTTTAAATATTTGAAATTAATTTAGAGAGATTTGTCCGTAGAATAAAAATATACTTACTAAAATTAGCTCTACATGGCTAAAGTTAATTTACGGACTTTAATATCGTTTTTAAAATATTACTTTGCAGACCTAACTTAGCTCATAAAAACTAGATTTTTTAGTTCATAGGAAAAATCCCTCCAAAATAGTTTTTATTGTTTCTAGATGTGTGATATAAGCTCTTTCCTGCAACGCAATTAAAAAAAACAAAAAAAAAATTGTCCCCATTGATTTTTAGGGCTTTAAACACACATTATTTTAGGGTATTTCACTTTTGTCGGTATATTGCTTTCAAAATAACTTAGAAAAAGAAGTTTATAAAAAAGCAGATTTTTAATCCATATCATTACGATAGTGTGTAGAACCTTTAAACAAAATAATAATGCTAAAAAATCTTTTGTTCTGAAGATATATACCCTACAAAAAACAGAAAAAATTTATGATGTTAAACTTGTGACAGCATTTGGTGAACCATAGATTAAAATGTAGGCATAATATGAAACTTGTATTAATTTTTTTGTAATTTTTACCTTCAGTTTTCAAAGAAACCACATTTTTAAGATATATTACCTGTTTATTTACGAAAATATAAGACCCCAAAAATACAGTTTTTTAGCTACAGACTGATATTGAAGTTTGGGTTTACAAAAAGCCTTACAAAAAGTACCACAAAACCCGAAATAATAAATAATTTGATCTAAAAATTTAGCAATCTTCATGGAACATGTTTAACAACATACTGACAAAGTTTTATCAAAATTGGAGATAATCGAGCGGGGAAGGTTTAGGAAATTAGACCGTTTGGTGTGGAATGACCCTATAATATCCATATATGCATATATATTAATGTATGTATCAGCATATATAGATTTTTTGGTTCATACAATGCTGAAATCTTGTTAACTTATTTCTTGCTTTTTGACTATTTTCCTTGCTATCTCTGTAACTGACAACTTAAATATTGGCTGCTTGCAACTTGTTTAAAAGTTATGATATCTTTAGTTAATGTTATATAGTTAATTTTAATGATAATTTAATTATAATGTTAATAGTTAATTTTTCTAAAAAATATTAAAAGTTTTATAATTTTTATAAAGCCTCTTCTGATAAAAGATCATTTTAAGCTTTTTACATTGATTTTTCCATAGACTTTTCCATAGACAAGCCAAAAAACCATTGTTATGTGATATTTGATTTTGAGTGGAGTTTATGGTTTATAATCTAATCTATACCTAATATAATCTAACATAATATAAAAAGAGTTTTTTTTTTTTTTTGCAAGTAATATTATAATAAGTATATAGTAGAAAAATAAAATTAATCAATATGTTCCTTTTTAAAAATGCATTTATTTCAACAAGGTAGCCACTAACTAGGTTATTGGGCGCCAACTATAAAATTTTAACCTCTGTTTTCTCCATTTATAAGAGACATCAGTCATTATTTAAATTTATTTGTTATAACATATTGAGGTAGAATAGTATGGCTATTAACATTTATACTAAGCTTTTAGACTAGAATTTACTTTGTTTTTATATTTTATTTTTTTGTTTTTAAGAGAAATTAATCCTGATGTTCAATTTGAAACTTATAATTATGACATCACTAAAGTGGATTGTTTTAATCATTTTATGAGTTGCATCAGGTAATTTTACTTAATAACTTTTATAATTAAATTTTAGAGGCAAATTCATTATCAGAGGTATCCATAAGTTAGAAAGGAAATCAAATCTTTTTTTTTTTTTTAATTGTTGTTTCTGAACACTTTATGTATAACCTCTCCTCTATAAATTTCTGAACACTTTATGTATAACCTCTCCTCTATAAATTTCTGAACACTTTAGGTATAACCTCTCCTCTATAAATTTCTGAACACTTTATGTATAACCTCTCCTCTATAAATATCTGAACACTTTATGTATAACCTCTCCTCTATAAATTTCTGAACACTTTATGTATAACCTTTCCTCTATAAATTTCTGAACACTTTATGTATAACCTCTCCTCTATAAATTTCTGAACACTTTATGTATAACATCTCCTCTATAAATTTCTGAACACTTTATGTATAACATCTCCTCTATAAATTTCTGAACACTTTATGTATAACATCTCCTCTATAAATTTCTGAACACTTTATGTATAACCTCTCCTCTATAAATTTATCAAGATCTTTATATAAATTCTTTATATAAATATAATATTTATATGTGTAAATAAGTATTAATATGCTGAATTATTTTCCTAATAAAATTAAAATTTTTAAACAAAAAAAGTTACGAACTTTATTTATCAATAAGTTTTCTTTTTTTTCTTTTTTGTTTTAGTATTACTATTAGTAGTAATTCAATATTTCTTTGTAATATTGAATTGATGAAGTCTATTTTCAAATCATACAAGATGATTAACAAGAAGCCATCAAAAATCTTTTCAGCTTTTTCTTCCTTTACTATCTCTTTTGTAATTTTGGTTAAAAAGATAATATATCAATATAATCTTTTAGATTTTTAATATTTGATATACCATTTAGCAAAGGTAGCATTACTGGTGGTCCATTAGATTTGGTATTATGCTGTGTTGACAATTTTGAAGCTCGTATGGCAATTAATACAGTAATTTAATTGATTTCTTTGTTGTTATTCTTTTAAATTTCTTTGAATCATCCCTAATTAATAGAATTTAAAAAAAAAAAAAAAAATTTTAATTTTGGAAAAAAATTTGTTTAGTTATTTTCATAATTTTGAAAAAAAGTAATCAGCTAAAAAATTGGCAAATCCATAAAAAATAGGCTAACATTCATTATTGATATATCACAAATGATGATGCTAACTACTCATGTATGTATATTCAAGCTGCAGCTTCATATCTTGAAGCTGTAGCTTTGGTTTTAGGGATCAAGGTACAGCTAACTTTGTATAACCGTTTATAAATAAGATTGGTTCTCTTGTACATATTATTCTTTGGTAGAGCATGAATGTTTTTAAAAATATTTACAATAAAATCTAATTTCTTGAATAATTTCAAGGTAAAATAGATGTCTGTATGTAATTAATATTATGTAATTATTTATTATAATTAAGACAATTAGAATTTTTAATAATTATTAAGTATTTAGCTGAAAATTCAATAAAAATCAAAAATGTGTAATTTTTTATTAACTTATTTATTATTTGAGGCTTGTAATGAGTTGGGGCAGCCATGGATTGAATCAGGCGTTAGTGAAAATGCTGTATCAGGACATGTTCAAGTAATTTTACCAGGGGAAACTGCTTGCTTTGCAGTATGTATTCTGTTGTTTACTTCTGTAGTTTTAATCAAATATAAAGTAATGTATAGATATCAACATTACTGAATAAAAAGTATAAAGTAACATAAAAGAAGTAATATATTAAAAATAATGATTTGCATAGTGTGCACCTCCATTGGTTGTGGCTGCAAACATAGATGAAAAAACATTAAAAAAAGACGGTGTATGTGCTGCATCACTGCCTACGACAATGGGAATAATTGCTGGTTTTCTTGTACAAAATACCCTCAAGTAAAGACACCCTTCTAGTTTTTCTTACCACATTTTTTATTTTTATTACTTAATTATTGTGTACAGTAAAACTTTAATTTAGTTTGAAAAATTCACGTTTACTTCTGACTTCACTACAAACAAGTTTTGATCCCTAGATATTTGTTGAAGTTTGGGCAAGTGACATACTATCTTGGCTACAACGCAATGCAAGATTTTTTCCCTACAATGATAATGAAAGCAAATCCTGGGTGCGAAGATAAATTTTGTGTTCTCCAACAACAGAAATATCAAGTTTGTCAGATTTGTTTTATAAAATTTAATGTGGTTTTGTAATAAAGAAACTTATTAGGCATTATTGATATGATTTGCCATATTAAAAATGTGTTTATTTTTTTTTTCAATATGTTGCTTGGTTACAGTCATTGATAACTCATTCTTAACACTGTTTATTTAACATTCATAACACTGTTTATTTATATTAACAAAACATTGGTATCACAAAGAAAATTGTTTTTTTGCAATTAGCATGCTAAAGGGTATCCAGAAGTAAAAAAAATAAATGAAAATAATAAATAAAGTAAAAAGAAATAAAATATGATATATTATTATTTTTATTTAGTTAAATGTTCTCCATTATTATAAATGCATAGTTATTTTGTTTGTTTTTTTTTTTTTTTGCGCTCTTGGACAATTTTCATGCAACTTTTTTATATTTTTACTATACATGTAATGTATGTAAGTTTACTTTACATGTAATGCATGTAAATTTAAAATAAAGTATATGTTTATTTTACATAAATAATTGTTTTACATCACATGATGTAATTTTATACCATAAATTGGGGTAACTTCGTACCAACTTAGTACCAATTTTGATAAAGAATATAACTTTTTGACTAAAAGAAATATTTTCTCAAAACTAGAGATTTCTTTCCAATCTATAAGAATACTTCTCCATGCTTTTTTTAATAGTGCTAAAAATGCCACATCAAGAGACTGTAGCAAATGTGTTAAATTTAGTAAGAAGACAAATCTAATGTTTTGCAACTTTATGGCTCAAATGGAAGATTATCACCTATTAACACTTTTTTTTTCCAGTTTTTTTCTTTACACATGGTAATAACATCCAAAAAATTTAATCTGAAAAACTTGCTTCATCAAACAAACCAGATTTGATTCTATTGAAGCAAGAATTTTTTGGACCATGTTTTAATCATGAGTTGTATAAATCAGTGCATTTGAAAACTGTGTATGGTGGCAGAATTTCTCCTGTTTCCACAAAATATTACAGAGAAGCCATTTTTACTGCTATATATTATTCTCTCACTTCATTCCACGTTTCATTACAACTTTTTTATGTCCAAGGTCATCACACAAATTGGTTTTATCTTAATTCCAAATATTACAAGGTGGAATTTCTTGAAGCTCATGTTTAATGTTTTTAAAATTATTGAGTACATAAGTGAATGTGATTGGTGCACTAATGCAACTTTTATGCTTTGAAATCACTTTATTGTGGATAGTACTTGTTTTTCAAAGAATGGTGTTAAAATAACTGCTGTAGTTATGTTTTTATGTTTATTATATTTATGAGGCATTATACTGAAAACAAAAGTAAATATAAATCACACAAAGAAACTTTGCAATTTGTAATTGTGAAAATAAATTTGCAATTTATTTATTTATTTCTAAACTTAATAAATTACAATTTATAGTTGGCAGTCACATAATTATCACAATAGTCACTTAAAAATAAAGTTTCAAAAAATTTGCAAAAACAAAAACAAAAAATTGAAAGCTTGAAAATAGATAATTTTAAATATCATAAAATAAGTCATCTAGATAAATAAAAATAAAAAAAGATTTAGGAAGTAAAATAATGATCAGGCTACTGTAAAGTTAGTATTATTTACATGGTCAAAGTTACCCCAAAAGATTATAAACCTTTAAAGTAACTTACCACCTTTTACCACCCTGTTAAAAAACACAGTATGTTGCTATTTGAGGCCAAAAAAAAATTGTATATCTTATTTGAAAATTCTTCTTGTAAATAGATGGAAAACTCAGTTTAAATCTTTACTCAGGCAACATTTCGTTTCTTATTTTTTGGTTGTATTTTACTTATATGTAGTTTTTATTCTTTTTCTCTTATATTCAAGAGCATTTGCAACAAGTTTCACCTTCAACTTATGCAAGAAGAATTTACAAATAGAACAAAAATATCACAAATTTACTTATCTGTTTAAAAATTTTAAGTTGTTTAACTAAAATATTTAAAAATGGCCAAAGTTACCCCATTTTACGGTGTGTAAAAAATATTTTTTAACAAAATACAAACAAAATCATATTCTGGAATTTCCTAAGTATTGTGGCATGTTTTAAATAATGTAACTAGAAATTTTTTTAGTAAATGTAACCAGCAAATATGATAAGTTAATTGTTGAATATACTTATGAGTGGATAAATGATATTATGTTTTTAAAAATAATTTAGTTTTGTATTTTTAAAAGATTTTTTTAAATATGTTTTTAGGAAATATTGAAATCAAAGCCATTAGATTTAAATAACAAAAAAGAAGTACCTGTTGTTATACACGAAGAAAACAATTGGGGTACGCGTGTATTTAATTATTTTAATCTGAGATATACTTGTGACAATTAATAAGGTTTCTTACATTACTAAGTTTTCTGTCTTGTGAAAATTAAGTGCATCAAACATTTTTTTCTTACTATTTGTTATAGTTAACTATAATTAGAAAGATTTATAAACAAAAAAAAGTAAATAAAAAAAGTGAAACACTAGAAAAAAATCTAAAGTATTAACTTTGCTCCTGATTAATCTTGAAGAGAAACTTTATATGTAAACCAATCTACAGTTAGAAACATTTATATGTAAAACAATCTACAGTTAGAAACATTTATATGTAAACCAATCTACAGTTAGAAACATTTATATGTAAAACAATCTACAGTTAAAAACATTGTAAAGTACAACCATTAAGACAACAACAGTGGAGAAAGGTAAAAATAAATGTATAATTTTTAATTGAAGCAGATGTTTCATTATATTTAAATAGCTTTACTATACTTGAAAATTAAAGCTATTAAACTAAAGAGTCTGAACTTGTTTATTTATTGATTGATTGCAGATTGCAGATTTTATTTTCAGTTGAGTCAGATTTTATTGTGATAGGCCAGTGGTCACAGTTTGTTTGTCATTCTGCTGGTCAAGCACCCTGAAAGATGTTGATAGTGTTTTCACTTTACATTAAAGTTCTATAAACAGAATTATTTCCATAGTTGTTTAAAGTGTTTCCAAATGAAAATCGTTAAATTACAGCAAAATTTCGCCACATGCCATACATTTAGAAAAGTCTAGTAATTCATGGTGGAAAAAAAATTTTAAAAACTTAAATGAACTGGTAACCTCCCAGATCTCAATTAAATTGAGATTCTTTGGGCAATTGTAAAGACTCTAAAAAAGTGACTACATGACTAAAACTAAGTTTGCCAACATTATTTTACATCATTTGGTTTTAAGACCCAGAAATCCAAAACAATTTGCGAGACTTCGATAGATTCCATCCCAGTTCGTGTAGTAGGAGGGCACACAAGTTTAAAGTATGGTAACAAATATTATAGTATGGGTTTATTATTTGAGTAAAAAAATCTAATATATTTGAGTATGTAAATTATATTGAGAATTTAATCTAAATATATTTGAGTGAGAAAATCTAATAAATGTTAGATTTTTATCTTCTCGATTTTGATGCAACTAACTTTCACAATAATGTAGATTCTAAATAAACATTTATAAGGCACGTCAGGTGAAAATTAAATTACTAAATGTATATAAACTTATATGTGTATATATATGTATATATGTATATATATATATATATATATATATATATATATATATATATATATGTGTGTGTGTGTATATATAAATATGTGTGTGTGTGTGTGTGTATATATATATATATATATATATATATATATATATATATATATATATATATATATATATATATATATATATATATAAATTAGGGGTGTTCAAAAAAATAAAATTTTGAAAACGCGAATACACAACAAGCTGAATTTGGGTCAAAAATAAGATAACAAAAAAAAAAACTTGAAATTTATCTTGTGCTCAAGGGTCAAAACACCCCCGAAAATGCCCCAAACAGTACCCAAGTAACAAGACTTTGGAGCACAAGGTAAATTTTAATATTTTTAATTTTTTTTTTTTAAATGTGCTCATAATAGTCTATACTTTTTTTTAAAATTGATCCGTAATTTTTCTTAATCGTTTTTTAAATTGAAAACAATTTTATGAAAAAAAAAAAATAATAAGCGTATTAAACAAAAAAATGCGCAATAATTCTTTGTAATTATTTGATTTGTTTATAATCACATTGTTAGGTTTTTATTTATTTATTTATTTTCAATTTATTTTTATATAAATTATAATAAATTTTATTTTATAGAAAAACATTTTTTTTATAAATTGATTAAGTTGATTAATTGATACATGATTAATGAACTTAAATTACGTAAAACTTGTATCTTTTAAAAATATGTTTTGAATATAAATTCTCAAGTTCAAGCTATCTTCTGTATTTTGGAGCATATGCTAAGTAGTCCTTTTACCATTCTTTTCTTGCTTAAAACTTTGTTATTTTTTTTCTTGCTTAATAAAGATTCACTGACTAATGCCTTAAAAATTGAACAAACTTTGTCCACAGCAATAAGCCTATTTTGCTTTTCTTCCTCATCTCTGTATCGGTGAACAAATTGTTGCATCTGATTGCTTTCTCAGCATGGTCGTTTACACAAACAACACTTTTTGCAACGTTTAAAAATGATTTATATGTTGATTGCGTGTGCCAATACTGAGGTGGTAAAGTCAGCCAATCATCAATTCGTTGATCTTTAATTCCAATCATATCAAATATTAACCAGGAGAACTCATCAACCAAAGAAGCTAAGCTAAGAATTTTCTGATGAGTGCTTAGTTCAAATTTCAATAATTTTTGTATATATATTTTTTTCTTTTTTCTTTTAGTTTTAAAGTAGCATGACTTTGGTTTTGGAACTGATATTATTGCAGCAGCAATTTTTTCCTTTTCTTTGAGTGCAACATTGTCATCCAACAAGGCTAAAGGAATCAGAGTTGAGTCAAGATACCATGTAAAGCATACAGCATCAACAGCAAATGGTTCTACACATACTGCTTTATACTGATACATTTGATGAATAACAGTTACATCCATAAAAGAAGCTTTTATTGTATCATTTGATTGCAGGTACCACTTTGCATAAAAACAAGCTATAAATTCAGTCATTGCCTTAATATGTTCTCTTTTTTTGAATAAAATCAATTTGAGTTAAAAGAATTTGCATTTTTAAATAGTATATAGATTCCCCTAGAAATCTTGCATGATGAACCGCTCTTATTTTTCAAATGTTAATGATAGAAGGAAAAAGATAGCTGACCACTAACTCTGCTAGTTCTTTTCTGTCTTCCCTAACAATATTATTTCCTTATAAGTAAGATCTACAATACTCAAGATATTCTGTAGCAGTTTTTTCAACAAAAATACCTTTAAAACCATTGAAAAATTAGCGAAGAGTGAGCAATAAGATGAGGTTTTTAAATTAAAGAAAGGGTTATAATATTACCTTCTTGCTATATTTCTTGTCTTCAGGCCCTAAAAATAACTTTCTGCTGTGTTCTTGATCGTGTAAAAAATATAGGTCCTCTTTCTTATCTAGGTCTGATCTATTTTTGTCCTTCTTTATCCAGTTTTGTAAGTCAGCTTTTTCTTCCCAAAAGATTTTCTCCAGCTCCTTTCTAAAGTCTTTGCTTTTTTAACTCTAAAGGCGACCTCTTGTGCATGTTTTTTTTTTCAACTTCAAATATTTTTTTATCAACTTATTTAGCTTTTGCATCAAGTTATTATCTGATTGAAGAGGGAATCCAGCTTTAAGCCAGGGACCCTTTATCTTGCATAGAATACACTTACAATGCAATTCAACACACCTCTCATAATTTCTGTCTTTTTTTACAGAGTATGCAAGTATAATTGACTTTTTTGATGTTTTAGAAAGCATCGACTGATTAAAAGCTATGTGTTGTAAAATATCTACTCCAGTCGGCAGTTGATCAGCTAAAGTTAATAACACAAAGGTTCAGGTTAAGTTTGTTCTTGTAAAACCTGTTGTACAACCTGAAATCTTATTAATCTATAATCTTAAATATAGTCCTAAACTAAATATTAAAAAATTAAAAAATCTCAAAACAAATTCGTTACTTAATATTGCTGGTTTCACTTTCTCAATAATAAAATGTTTGTATTTCTTTGTTTTTATATTTTGCTTTTCATTCCCACTTTTTAATAGTTTCCTACTTTTATTTGCACTTGAAAGCATTTTATGTGACTCTCCATTATTTTCTATTAAATTTTCCATTATAATTTTAAAAACTATTTTAAAAGAAACCACTTTCACTAATTTAAAAATATGAGATAAAACTAAAATGTTTACTGCAGAATTTTGAAATATACATTTATGTTAATTTACAATTGCCATTTTTTTTCTTTTTACAACTTTTAAACAGGTAACAAAACTTTTTTATCAAGCGATAACAAAAGAAATATACAAACTAAGTAAACAAATCAAATGACAAAAACATTAATTGATAAAACAAAAAAATAAGGAGAATTATTTTTTTTTTGTTTGTTAACAATGCGTTAAAAAAAAGTTTTTTGAGTATTTTTTTCATAAAATTGTTTTCAATTTAAAGAACGAGTAAGAAAAATCATGGATACACATCAATTAAAAAAAAAAGTATAGACTATTATGAGCACATTAAAAAAACAAATTAAAAATATTAAGATTTACCTTGTGCTCAAAGCCTTGTTACTTGGGGCATTTTTGGAGGTGTTTTGACCCTTGAGCGCAAGGTAAATCTCAATTTTTTTGATTTTTTTTTTTTTTTTTTGTAATCTTATTTTTTTTTATATTTGCCCCAAATTTAGCTTGTGTATTCGCGTTTTCAAAATTTTATTTTTTTGAAACCCTTATGTAAATGTGTATATATATATATATATATATATATATATATATATATATATGTATATATATATATATATATATATATATATATATATATATATATATATATATATATATATATATATATATATATATATATATAATTATTAGGGTGATCCAATGAAAGGAAATTTTTTCTAGAAATGCGCATTGGACCCTCTCATTCTTATCCATCTACTATAATAAAAACTTGGTAAAAAATCTGAGATAATTTGAAGGATTTTTAGAGGTTGCACAAGATTCTAAAAGGTCAGAAAGGTCCCTATTATATTATTTTAAAAAATTTTTAATTATATTATGTTGGTTCTCAAAAAAAGCAAAATTTTATAAAAAAATTTAAATAAATTATGTTATTTATAGAGTATTGTTTTATATTTTATGGCTCAAAAACTATTGTTTTTAACAAAAAATAAAATATTACATTTTTTCTAATAGTTTTTTTAAAAAATTTCTTGTTTTCGTGTTTTTATTTATTTTATATTATTTTGAAATTTTTTATAAAGTTTCGCTTCTTTTAAAACCTAAAATGTTATACATTTGAAAAAAATTTTGATAATTTTAGTGTCTGATGTTTAAGGATCTTGTGCTACTTCAAAAAAAGTACTTCAAATCACCTCAAATTTTTGTTTTAGTAGATGAATAATAATTGAAGGTTCCAATAGGCTTTTTTTTTAAAAAAACCACCCAGTATATATACATGTATGAGCCACAACGTGCAATAATACTGGGGGACCATACTTATCATGAATTTATTTGTTTTTGGGGTTTCAAAAAAACTTTTGTTGCCCCAATTTTAAGAATAAAAATTTTGTTAGGAAAATTTTTTCAAATGCTGAAATAATTTTGATAGATCCGTCTTACTAATGGCTTTCAAAAACATAAACTTCTTGAATGCTGGTTGTTTGAATCGATCTTCTATTAATTCTATTGCATTAATAATTGTGTCAAGAACTTCAAAACATATCGGCTTAATCATTGGTTATTTTTGGGTAATAGGCATCGCTCGTTTGTTCTTTGTAATCAATAACGTATTAAAAAATGGAATAATTCTACTTTTTTTTTTTTTTTTTGTTTCCTTGGCAAGGTAGTTTTTTAATTGACTTGATTGAATTTGCTTCTTTCTTAGCCACCGCAAAAAATTAAATGGAAGTCATCATTTCTCATATTTTTTTATTGTATTAATCATTAAATATGCAGATTTTTTTCCTCTGGTTGCCGACAACTTAGTCAACTTAGTCATGGCGTAAATAAGAGATATTGCTGCGAGAAAAGAGAAAGCTTATAAGGGAGATTGCTGCAAGAAAAGAGAAAGCTTATAAGAGAGATTGCTGCCGAAAAAGAAATAAAAGGATTTCATCTGGCTCTTACAACCAATGATTCTTGCTTTTGTCACATGGTCAAGTTTGTCAACCTCATGTGTATACTTATAACTCTTTCATCAAGATGATCTACAATGTTTTTGTACCAAATAGGCGCAATAGTTTGGTAAAATTATCATTTCAATTATGACCTTGCAAAGCTATTCCTTGTAATCCAAGGTAACGTAGGTATAAAATGACTTCCAAAAAATAATTTAGTTCTATAGCTCTCCCATTGGAAATCTGCTTATCCATAAACTCCTCTTGACTTTAAACAAGTCTAAACTAATATAACGAGGCTGTTTTCTAACATGCCTAATCTTGGTGAGTCTGTAAACATTTTGGAGCTTATTTCCATGATAAGAAACCTTTGGTAATATAAGCATCTTGTTAATTTCTCTTATCTTTCTTAACTTTAACTAAAAGTTTATATATTTATAAATATACATACATACATACATACATACATACATACATACATACATACATACATACATACATACATACATACATACATACATATATATATATATATATATATATATATATATATATATATATATATATTAATTACTCTTTTAATCTTTCTTAACTTTAACTAAAGAAAAGTTTCCCTTTCTTTAGTTAAAATAAATTTTAGTTGAGGTAAAATAAATCGTTTAAATAAGTAGTTTTTTTTTCTAACCAATGACTAATTATTTTTAAAAATAACTAATTATTTTACCCTCGGCCCCTCCCCCTGCTCGTCTCCGTGATCCATGCTATATATATATATATATATATATATATATATATATATATATATATATATATATATATATATATATATATACATACATGCATACATACATACATACATACATACTTACTTACTTACTTACTTATATATATGTATATATATATGTATGTATATATATATATATATATATATATATATATATATATATATATATATATATATATATATATATATATATATATAAATGCATACATACATACATACTTACTTATATATATATATATATATATATATATATATATGTATGTATGTATGTATGTATGTATGTATGTATATATATATATATATATATATATATATATATATATATATATATATATATATATATATATATATATATATATATATATAATTGTTTTGATTATTTGATAATAATCAACTCTTTTGGTTTAAGAGTGATCAATATAAAGTGAAATAATCACAAAATAGATCAATAAATAAATAAAAGGTTAGATGAGAAAAAACAACTTTTTTACAGTACTTAAAGTTTTATCCATTTTTGGCTCATCAGGCATATATTTTTAATATATGGCTAATGAGTGCCAAAAACGGCATGAAACTTTAAGTACCGTAAAGTTGTTTTTTCTCACCTAACCATTTATATATGTATATATATATATATATATATATATATATATATATATATATATATATATATATATATATATATATATATATATATATATATATATATATATATACACATATATATTGTATAGTTCATAAATTTTTTTATTTATGTAGGAATATCATTAGTAGACGAATCGTGCAATTTACGAGAAGATAAGCAGCTACCAAAACTTTCCGAAGGTCTTCAGTATGCATACACAACACCAACTGCAAGTTTTTGTTATTATTATTTATTTTTTTTTTGAGAAAAACTTTACTGATACTGAAACTGATAAAATTTAACAAATAATACTTTGCTGACCAGGGAATTATAAATTAAATAAATTGATTACTAGCTTGATTGTAAATAAAAAATTTATTTACTGAAAATTTACTTTACTTATTTAATATGAATTTATACTATATTTATTTATATTATATATATATATTATAATATTATTTATATTATATTTTATATTTATTTATATTTATAATACAGTGTAGTTTTTTGACGTTGTACTTTTATAAATTTTTTTTCTAAATTTTCTATGTTTTCTTATTAAATATTTTTTAGCAAACCGAAGATGTTTGTTTGATTGCAGCTGAATCGGCAGGTGACGATCAACAGAGTCTTGAAGAACTTATGAATGCGCTAAAAAGTGTTTGATTTTTGCGTCAAGTGAAACAATTTGTAGTTGGTTATTTATAAAATTAAAAAAGTTTTTGCGTGTTCAAAAATAGCATGTTCGAAACATTGTTGTTAAAAATTGGTACATGCACACACAATCACACACACATATATAGATTTAATTCTTATAAAATATTTCAGTTGACAATATAATAAAATATTTCAGTTGACAATATAATAAAATATTTCAGTTGAAAGTTTAAAAAAAACCTTATCATATGAAAATTTCCCATTTCTGTGAAGTAACCGTAAAGTAAGTTTTTTAAATCATGTAAAAATATTTAACAGATCTCCAGCAAGATTAAAATGATTTTTAGTTTAGAAAATATTAATTTTTTACGAACTGGAGATCAACCGGTTTTGAAGATGTTTAAAACTTTTTTATATAAAAATAATTCAATGTGAGATTAGATCAGACTTAGCAAGGATGCTATTGTAACTCACATAGATCAACTAATTTTTTTTTTATACTTAAATGTCTTTTTCCCCAGTGGTCTTCATATATATATTTGTATGTATGTATGTATGTACTAGAAATAAATTGAAAACAAAACAAAAAGACAATTTGTTTGAGATAGCAACAAATTCCTCAAAATTTATTGAAGTTGGCAAATTTGGTAAAACAAAGCCGAGAAATCATCAAAATATAAACTAACAAAAATAGATTTTTACTGTTAGCACTTATGGCGAGCTTGCAGTATATTGCACACATTTGTTTTAAAGTTGTTATAAAATATATACATATTTTAAAGTAAAATTTAATTTAAAAAAAAAATAAAACCAAACGATTTGTGAGATTTCTGTGAATTGATTCACAGGTTTGTTTTACATCAGGTTCCTAAGAAAAAGTTTTAATTTTAGACATCATTCAAATCTAATCTGATGTTACTTTTAATGTTGCTAGATTTCAGCTCACAATATGTAGGTTCGAAAACTGTCATAAGTTTTTTTCTTTTTTAAGAACTGGCAAGTTCTTTTCAATCATGATCTACTGAAATTTTTTCTTTATTTCTATTTAAGTTTTTTTTTAACTTCAAATCTTTAAATTTTACCTTTCTGATCTATGTAAAATGATTGCCAAAAGAATTCTTTATTATTTTGATGATGATCTCTTTACCTAGAGATTTCGGTAAATTCATCCTTGCATTATCTCCTTGAGATTGTTAAAATAAGTTGTTATAGCCGTAGGAAAGCAAACTTTCTTAACCAATTTTCCGGGTATTCTAAAGCTTCCACGACAATAATTTAATCGGGTAATGTTAAAAGGGCGGAAGTCCAATAATGTAAACTTTCGGAAACTAATAAAAACTGCCTTTTCCCCCGTAGTAAATTTTTGTTAATAGATTCAATCATTATTTGGAAAAATTTTACTAGGGAAAATGCAGTTTTTTTAGTTTCATTTAAAAAACTAGTACTAAAACTAGAAATTATCTGTTGGATAGACAGATAATTTCTAGTTTTGACGGTTTCCTTAACTATGACGGTTTCCTTAACTTAAAATGACGGTTTCCTTAACTATCAATGTTATTACTTATAAAGATAAATTTCAATTGGATCTCAAATTCCAGTTTACAACTATATTACTAAATTACAGTTAAATAGTATATAGTTAATTAAGCAAAACAGACATAAAAATCATTGCTTTTAATGAAATACGTATATATTTACGTCATCAGAAGGTAAATGTAGACCACGCGAGTAAAACCACAGATGTCACATTTTTCTAATTTTTAGAAAAAATGAAATTTAGTATTTAAAGACATTAGATATCTGTTTATTAATAATTTTAGTTAAAAGATTATTTTTTTGACATTTTTATCCTTATACAATATAAAAACGCAGTTTTTGTACTAAATACAAGTATTTATTACAGTGTTCTTTTGAAAACAAGGCACTCATCAACTCATAAATTACGTTAGCTTGTAACCTTTTGGAGCATTTATTTTTTTAAAGGTAGATGGTAACACATTGCAATATACAACTACAACGTACTAAGTGTGTGATGGGATAATAAAAACCATTCCCCGCCCCCTCTTTTAATAAAAAAAACTCAAAAAATTATTATTTGAAAGTTTTTTTTTAACTTTATACAAAATAGCATTGCAACCTTATCTCTTCCCCAACCTCATCTGTTTACCACAGGTGATTCCATGATGTCTGTGTTCCATCACTTTATATCAAGTTTGTGTAAACCATACAAAAACCAATTGTGAATACAAATTTAATAAAATTGTTTTGTTTTTAATTTCAAAGAAAAAAATATTAATCAAAAAAAAGAGCTATGTACGCTTGTTTCAGTTTATCAGGCACTTCGATCATTGATCTTAACATATGAGATGAAACACACATAAAATTAAATATTTCTATTTTTCCATATAAATAAACTTTATAATATTTCATAACATTTAGTACTTTAATTTCTCTAAGTGAACATGTCTTCAATGAACAAACAATCAAGAAGTTTGGCTTTAAAACTCTGCAAATTTCAGAAATATTTCTTGTATCATATTTACATACAATATTGAATTGTTATAGTTTTTTGTGAGATCGTCTAGTGTTCTGCGAGAAACTTTTGATTTGCAATGGCCAATGTTTCTGTCACGTTTTTTAGAGGTGTAATGTTTATACGTAATGTGGCAGAGTTCTAATTGGTAATGAAACAGTAATGTTGTCAAGTTTTTCAGTTTATAAACTTGATAATAAAATCAAAATAATATTTTTTTTTTTATATTTTGCCTAGAACATTAATTGCAAATCAATTTGATATCCTTTACACTTGAGACAATTGATAATTTAAAATCATGCTGCACATAACATACAATATCAGACCATCTGTTTCCAACAGTTTCATCATAACAATAAAAATATAATTTTTGAATTGAAAGTATATTAGTGTTAAAAAAAATAAAACAGGTATTGCATGGTATAGCATACATATTGGTTTCAAAGGCTTAGGTAATTTTTTTTTTGAAATCTAAGCAAGTTACTTCACAATTCAAAAATCAGAATCAGAATTTTTTTTTTCTCTGTACGTAATGTTGTTTACTTTATCCGTAAAGTTGTTCATGTGACTTACGCTTTTATTATTATTATTATTGTTATTTTAAGTTGATTAAGGTGCTCCAAGAAGTCCTTACGGTCTTATTACAGAGCACCGCGAAATAGCATTTAATAGGAAGTTCACGCCTCCTTCCCAACCGATGTCGCAAAACTTGCCCATAGGTGGGGTTTGAACCGCTTCTGAGGCAAGTGCGCTACCACTGCGCCACGGCTGCTTAATTATCATTGGTTTAGTTTTAAGTAACTTGGACAACTGTGTTTTTTTTTGCGGTAAACATTGGACAACAGTGATTGTTTCAAAGTTGCTCTTTTTTTTAAATGACTATAGATCATAAAAATATATAAAACTTGAAATTTTCAAAAAGTTGACATCTGTGGTTTTATCCGTGTGGTCTTCATATATTGTAAACTGGAATTTTAGATATACACATTATGAACCCATGTGTGAATTTTTCGATTATAAGATGTGTCATGGATGAAGTCTATCCACGAGATTGATAGTAAGTTATTTTATCAGTAAAAAGATAGTTTAGAAACCATTATGAATTTTTTAATAGGTTATTCGGAGAAAATTAAATTACTTGGCGCGTTAAAATAAAATAAACTGTTTTCGTTACATCCGTATCCAAAAATTTCAAATCGTAAATTGTACGGGTTCCAATTTGTCTACCGAGTCAAATGCTTTAGCGAAGTCCAGAAATAGGATCACCAATGGCTAACCTTCATTAACTGAGCTTGTAATATAATCGAATGGTTAATTACAAAGCCATGTTGGTTCACGTTAACTAAATTGTTATTTGTTAGATGTTTCTTCATCTTATCCCTAACGATCCTCTCCATTGTTTTACACACAACAGATGTCAATGAGACAAGTCTATAGTTAGTTGCATCAAAATGATCAAATATTAGGTATTGTTCTTGATTGAAATGATTTGTTAAATATGATTGATAATGGTTCGGACAATACATCTAAGCATTCCCTGAAAACTCTTGGGTGCACTTTATCTAGTCTTGTTGCTTTATTTGTGTCTAATTTATTTAAGTAACTTTCAATTATTGTTTTATTAAATTCAGGGTCTTGACTACAGCTTTAAGTTTTCACAAAGTTTGTTTGATTTTGAGAACTGTCATTTTTAGTAAAAACAAAAGCAAAAAATCCATTCAGGGTATCAGCTATTTTTTTACCATTTGTCACAATTTTACCATCTTTCAACTGAATAGCTCGAATTCTGTCTTTTACTTTAATCTTATTATTAATATACGCGTATATAAGTTTAGGATTTGACTTCGAATTAACAGCAAGATCATGTTCAAATTCTTTAACTCTTTGTTTTACTTTTTTCTTAAGATTCTTGTTTAATTCTTTATAATACTCAAGCATTTGATTGTCAATAAAGTTTAATTTTCTACATTCGAACCACAGTCGCCTTTTTTCTTTAGTAAGTAGCTTTATTTCATTATTCATCCAAACTGCTACATTATTTCTCTGATTGTTTGATAATTTAGTAAATGGAATGTACTTTTTACAACCTTCATAATACAGAAAGAGCCATTTTTCATAACACGAGTTCACATCTATATTGTGAAATTCTCTACTCCAGTTTATAGTTTTAAAATATTGGGTCATTTCATAGTAATTATCTTTGTTAAAATTTATCTTTTCATATATAAACTTACTTTCGATCGTACTATTAACAAAGCTATATTTGAATTTAATAATATGGTGCCCATGATTAATACCTCCTAGTGGTGGGAGATAAATTAATCCGAAAATACGATTTTTACATTCAGTGAGAATTAGATCTAATACGTTAGTCATCACTCGTACGTTATTCTGAAATGTAGGTTCTATTACGTTTTGGTGTAAAAAACAATCATTTAAACACTCTAGGAATATTTTAGCCTGTACATCAGACGCGTTCATTAACATTCCAAAATATTCTTCAGACCATTTGATTGTATGGAAATTAAAATCCTCACGTATTAATAACCATGTGAACTTTT